GCAGAGGCGGACAGTAACTAAGTACATTTACTTGAGTATTGTACTTAAGTACACTTTTTGAGTATCTGTACTTTACTTGAGTATTATTTTTTCTGGGAACTTATGACTTTAACTTCACTACATTTGAAAGACAAATATTGTACTTTTCACTCCACTACATTTCTGTCAAGATCCTCAAAGTAGAAAGTCGTTTTGTAGCAGCTTTGAAAGTCAGTGGGTGATTTTTTTTTCTTCTCTAAAATGTGACTTACTTTTTTTTTTTCAGACAGTTTGTCAGTAATCACTCTTGTAGGGCTACAATGAAGTGATTTCCCAGCATTTTTGAACACTGACCAGTTGCAAATGTGATATTTATTTACAGCAATTCAATAATAAGAAGTTAATATTGTGGTATATATTAGACACAATATTGTCGTGTATATATTAGACATGATTTTGCTAAATTGTGTAGGTGAAAATATTACCTATAAAGCCACAGAAGAACTGTTGTGCGTCTCCTAATAAAACACAATAAGTGTTGGACTTGAAGCAGAACTGCACAGACCATTCTGTGTGTGATATCAAAGTACCGCGAGAGCGATTAGACAGCATTTCAAATGTTTGTTTTGATGTCAAATAAGTCTTGCTGTCTTGCTTTTTTGTTAAAGCTGTGTTGCTGTTGTAAAGTTATACAGCTACAGTTGTGTTGCTGGGTTTTAAAGCCGGTTTGATTATTGTTTTCTTCCTTATCACTCTGTATTTACAGGATTTCACTGTCCACTCTGTTCAAATGTGGATGAATGGCTACACATAGATGTGTGCACACACTGTCAGAGCTGTGTGAGATCACTACCATCCTGCTTTTGTGGGGGTGGGTAGGGGTGTTAAGTTTTTTTCCCCATAGGTTTTTAACATTCTAAAAGCTCTTTATTCCAAAAATATACTACAAGCTAGTCAGTCTATTCAGCAGGAGTAATGTATTCTAAGTTGCTTCAGAAGTATTGCAAGTATTACGTACAACAATAAAACAAAGTGCATTGACATGAAAAAGGAAATGTACTTTTGGTACTTAAGTACTTTTAAAAGCAAGTACTTCTGTACTTTTAGTAAAAATCTGTCTTTACAACTTTCACTTGTAATGGAGTAATATTTGACCAGCAGTATCTGTACTTTCACTCAAGTAATGGAGTGGAGTACTTTGTTCGCCTCTGCTTATAATTGTCTATAAGCTGTCATATGCAATTGCCTTGTAGGGGCAGAATTATCTGAGTTGATTTGCATAGCCATCAGCATTCTTACCAACTGAACCTTGAATATCATTCTTCGATCATGTCGCATACTGACCACAAGAGAGAAGCAATGAGCTGTGGATCTAGCTGCAGTTCATCTGCAGTAACTCCTGCCGTCGTTGGTCACAATATTGAAGCTTATGCTGACATAATGTGTATGCAGTGGCATTATCTCCAGTGCTATAATCCTGCTCCCCGTCAATAACACCATTCTATCCCTCACTTTCCCTGTCCTTTCTTTCTGCTGGGGGAGGGAGTGACGGAGATGACATTTCCAGTATGACTTCACAAAGCAGTGACTCACAATTGATTCACTGTTTTATGCTTACAAATATAGAAACTTTCTCTCCCCGCCATTTCCTTCTCGTCCTTTTGAGCTCAAGAAAGACCAACTCCCTGTCAGTTGAGGAGGTCCGACTTTAGTTCGAGACCTCACTGCAGCGTTATTAAAACTGATAGGCTACTTGCACAAGGATGCAGGGATTTCTCACAGACGTGTATCTATATAGATGTCTGTCCTGTTTTGGCCTTGTTTGATAGCCTCAGCCATGGATATGCATGGGAATTGCGTGGTCCCGCGGGTCCCACTCACCTCAGCAAAGTCACGTTGGGAGATTTGTGCGTGTTTGAGAGACTGGTTTGACTTTAGGGAGCTTAAATTGGACGCGGTGTTTCAATTTGCTTCCAGAGCACGCTAACCTGCTAACTAGTAACCTGCGTGTCGCCATGACAACAGCCGGCTCTGCACTCCAACACCAACCAAGAACACAACAGAGAAGGAAGACAGGAAAACAGCTAAAAAATAAAATGCAAAAGAGCACATTTGAAAATAGACACAAGTGTAGTCCAAATAATGACTTCCTTATTTCAATTCCGTTTGTAATTTGAATAACACGACATGTGTAGTTAGGACTAACCTTACCTAATTACCTC